CAAGACTCATCTAAGATGTAATTGATGGCACCACTTGCCCCAAGACTCATCTAAAGATGTATGTGGGTGCCTCACTCCTCTTGGTGTAAACAATGAGCTCCTTGCTCAGTTGTTCCAGCAGTCTCTTACTGGTGTTGCTCTTCATTGATTTGTCACCCTATACAACGACAAGAAGAGGACTTGGGACGAGATTTGTAATGCCTTCGACTAGTAGTACCCCTACAACGAGGAGGTTGATATTACTAGAGGGACTTGGAGGCCCGAGAATCCTTCTCCTCATTCCTTAACGAGGTGGAGAGGCAAAGCCTCCCAAATGCTCAACCGTCCTTCCGAGCAAGAACAGATTGACATCATTGTCAAGAATCTCCTCCGCTCTTACCAGAATCACTTGAGGGCACAGTACCTCCCAGACTTCCGAGCCTTTATTGCTACTACCACAAAGGGACCTGATCCAGTCGGGCCAGATCAAAGAGGATTAAGTTTCTTCTCCAGATATATGAAGCCTCAAATCAACAATCATGCAGTTCCTCCCACCCCTCAGAAAAGCGATGACGTGGCCAATTTGACCAGCCAAAGACAACTTCCTCCTCCACCACCACGAAGACCAGTTGCTCAAATAGACTGGCGTAAATTTACAGACTTAGGGGTTCCTCTTTCTTTCATTTTCCAAAAGGCTGTGAATGATAAGTTGATACAGCCCTTGGAACCAAGACCCCTACCTAACCCTATTCCAAATAACTTCAACCTTAACTCCTTCTACTCTTTCCATCAAAGGCCTGGAAACAAGACTGATGAGTGCAAAACCTTAAGACACAAGATTCAGGACCTACTAGAAAGCGGCCAAATACTTCCTGTTCGACCTCGAACGGACATAAACACTATCCCTCTTCCTTATCACCAAAACAACATCTATTTGATTCATCAAGAGCCAGATTCTGACTTGTTTTCTTTGATCGAACCCATCTTAGACAACTCATGTTGCATCATAGACTTGAATGACGTACTTGAGGAGATAACGCCATCACCTAGAGCGGGAGACAATACCCATCTCCTCCTCTAGAAGCTCTACCCAACCCAGCCACCCTAGCCAAAGACATGCCCAGTTCTAGCTCTGGACCCCAACTTGAAAACTTAGTCTTGGAGCAGCTGAAGAAGACTAAAGCTAATATCTCTATATGGGGGTTAATCTAGTCTTCATTTGTGCATCGCCAAGCCCTGATGAAAGCCATGAATCAGTGTCAGACTTCTGCTGATATAACCCTAGAGGCATTGGTGGCATCCATCACGAGGAACCCCTTAGCATTGGCTCTCTATTTCTTTGACCATGAGATCCTTGCTGGAGGAGACCACAATTATGCTTTATACATCACAATTCTGATATCATAATTCTAATAGAAAAAATTCTACTTTAGAATAGAAAAAAAAAATTTGTGCTGAGATCACAATCATGCTTTATACATCACAGTCTAGGCCAGGGGTAAGACAGCACCTATGGTTCTAGTAGATAATGGGTCCACTCTGAATGTTTGCCCTCTAAAAGTGGCCAACTGTCTGGGCCTAACTGTTGAAGACTTTATGCCATCCGATCAGATACTGAGGGCATATGACAACACTAGGTGTGAAGTATTAGGTGTGGCCGATCTAGAGGTCACAATCGAGCCCGTAGTCATGACTATGCCCTTCCAAGTGGTGGATGTCCCGGCTTGCTTTAATCTCCTTCTGGGAAGACCATGGACTCACAAGGCTGAAGCAGTGGCCTCCTCTCTACACTAAAAACTGAAGTTCCCCTATGAAAATGTAGTGGTAACAATTGTTGAGTCTCTTTGAGTTACCCACAAGTATACGGATCGCAACGTAGTAATAAAAAGATCGATCCCAAGAGGAACGGGTTATGTCCACTTTACTACTTATCCTTAACACTACAACTCATAATCAGATTTGGTTTTTCTTTTTTGTTTGTGCAAAAAAGAATTTTCAATGGCTTACAATGATAGGGGTAAATATCATGTCTTGACATTTCTTTGGATCGAATACTACAAAAGCGCTGGCTGGTTATTAGTTGCATACGTACTTATATTTTTAGTTCATATACAGGTCAGTCCTTTTTTTTTAACCCTGACCCTAAAGAAAAATCCCAAAACGAGTCGCACACTAAGCATAGCAACTTACAATCAATCGAACCGCGGGTCTATTCAATCCTATAGAAGATGTAGAAGAAAAAGAATAGAATAGAAGAAATGACCAATTAGAATGAAGAAATACAATTAGATTGCTTCTTTTTTGTTTTGATTTAAAACAAAAAAACGAATGGAAAGAGTTTGTCAATTTTTGTTTTCTTCAATGATTAGAATGTAAAGACAGTCAAGTAAAGGGTTATTCTTTTTTATCTTAGAAATGTTCAAATTTTTATTGCCTAATACCCCCATAATAGTTTAACTGTATACGAACAAATACTCAATTGTAAGCTAATGGTTGTAAAGGAAACTCTACCCTCTCTAATCCATTCGACGGTAGGCAATTTCTTTTCAAGTCAAGAACGCCCCGCAATATTGGACTTGAATTTCCTTTTGTATCCGTTTGTTTCAGTTAATTCAATAGCTTTTTATTGCTTTGCGAAAGGGAAACTCTATTCTTTAACTGCCCGCTATAAAATTCTGCAAGGAATAGTTAGGTTGCCCATAAGGATCTGAAATCGGTTTAATTTTAATACAATTATTTGAGTTTTCGGTTCACATAATTTAAGTCTATTTTGTTACATTCATCTGTAATTCTTCGATTTTGTTTAGGCTACCCTTCCATTAATAATTTTTGGAATCCCATATATATCATTGACCTGAATCACATCGATTCGTTTTTGAATCTCTATACGTGCAATTCCTTCAACACCAGAAGATATTTTCGTATTTTGTTTACATAATTTTTTGATACAGTTTCTTATTTTTTGATCTTCTTGTAGATCCTCAGAATAATTTTTTGGTTGTGGCCAAACCAAAGAGAATGGATGACTTTGAGTTGTTTACCAAGTCTAAAACAAGTGGATTTATGTTGTCCCCATATCCCCCACTACTTATATACATACCACAGAAATTCCTTCATATTTGTGGATTTCGTTTTTTTCTATCTATCCCGGTTTTTTAAACATATGTTTTATATTTTTCATATTGTTAATAACTCTTCCTAGAATATTTGTCATTATCTTCATATTCTTCATAGAAGGCATATATCTTTAAACAATAGTTATTATGACAGTCGATCTTTTTATCAGATAACCCCGCCTCGAGCCTGAGGTTTATTTTTTCACCAGTAAGCACTTTTCGTTGACTTAGCTTTACTAATGATATTTAAAATGGCTTCGTTAAACCCATATTGTGACTAGCATTTGCTCCTGCAAGAATAAATCAATTTAAAAAATGGGGATAACATGCTCTATAGGGCATGAGTTCAAGTATCATAAGGTTTCTTCAAAGAACGTCCACGAAATCTGATTTCAATTATTCTTCGTGGCTTTGTAGGGACATACATATATGTTGGCCAAAGCATTATACTTCGTATATGGGTTTCTCTCTGTCGCTTTCTTTTATTTATCATAGATTCCGCCTTTTTTTAATGAAACGGCTTTAAATTCTATATTTGATTTGTTTTTCTTTTTAATTTCATTTTTTAGTTTAGGAATTAAGATTAACGAATTAACGAACGAGATTTATTATCGTTTTTTTGCATGTCCGGGAAATTTAAAGTAGTGAAAATTCTCCCAATTTATGGCCCACCATGCGATCCGTTATATAAATAGGTAAATGCCCCTTTCCATTATGGGATAGCAAATAGTATGGCGATCATTGTGGGTTATGAATGGTAGATGCCCGGACCACGTTGCTCATTATTTTCTTTTTCTGCTTTTGTGTTAAGCTTATTTATTTTTTTTAATAAATGGATTTGCTACAAAAGGGTTTTTTTTAGTGAACGTGTCACAGTTAATTTCTCCTATTTTTTTTTTTCTTTTTTTTTTCTTTTAAAATATATTTTTTTGTTTTTGTAAAGACGAAGAAAGAAATAATCTCTCCTATTTACTCCGTCGACGAAGAATCAAATTATCACTATATTTATTCCTTTTTCTACTTCTTCTTCCAAGTGCAGGATAACCCCAAGGGGTTGCGGGTTTTTTTCTACCAATTGGAGCCCTCCCTTCACCACCCCCATGGGGATGGTCTACAGGGTTCATAACTACTCCTCTTACTACAGGACGCTTACCTAGCCAACATTTAGATCCGGCTCTACCCAAACTTTTCTGGTTCACCCCAACATTCCCCACCTGTCCGACTGTTGCTGAGCAGTTTTTGGATATCAAACGGACCTCCCCAGAAGGTAATTTTAATGTGGCCGATTTCCCCTCCTTTGCAATCAGTTTCGCAACAGCACCCGCTGCTCTAGCTAATTGTCCACCCCTTCCAAGTGTGATTTCTATGTTATGTATGGCCGTGCCTAAGGGCATATCGGTATCGGTTGAAGTAGATTCTTCTTTTTGATCGATCAATCAAAACCCCTTCCCAAACTGTACAAGCTTCTTCCAAAGCATACGGCTTTCTGGATGTAGATGATGATATCTATACAGATGGATTCGTATAATTCTTATCGTATAATTCTTATATATATTGTACAATGAAGTACCACATGAGTGGATATATAGGAATCCAAATCTGTCGAACCACTCATATATAAACGATGGATACTGGGTGCTGTGCGTATCAACCCGTGCAGTGCTGTAGCTAACGGGTTAAGTATCCCGCCTGGGGAGTACATTCGCAAGAATGAAACTCAAAGGAATTGACGGGGCCTGCACAAGCAGTGGAAATTACCACTGCTTAGCTTTCAATTCGCCTCTGACCATCAAATTAAATGTGAATAACCCGTCCTCCTCTCTTTGAAACAAGGGGCGCTTAAAGAACATATCTACCAAAAGAAATACGATTAGCTCGAAAAGCTTTTCCTTTCATTCGTCCTCTATGCTGTTTGTGGAATCGGGGCCTTTGGGGGTTGTAGGTGATGCTTGTTTCTCAAGCCCATCTGTTGAGGTCTATCCTGTAGAGGTACTTCAAATTGCGATCTTTTTTTTTTTTTTTTTTTTTTTTTTTTTTTGTCTTTATCATATATCATGAAACTTCATATTCCGTAGGAATCATGGCTTGATTCTCAAAACCTGATCCTAAGTTTATATGTTATTGATTCTGTACCCTTAAGTGGGAAATTTGTGCTTGTTACTAAAATCAACATTTACATTTCTGATTCTTGTGCATATGCAAGACTTGGACTTCAGAATACAATTTCCATCAGTTTGGAATTTGGATTTCATTTTTGAGTCATTTTTTGTCCTTTGGTCATCTCACTTAAATTCTTATCCTTGTGGCCATTCAGCTGGAAAGCATCTGTGAAGATAGAGTGTCTGTGGAGAAGAAACAGAATTTGTTATCAAATTTCATCCCTAACCTTCGGTCGGGAGAGTGGTCTGACATTGGAGGCCGGCCTTATATGGAGGATACGCACGTTTGCATCAGTGACTTGGCTAAGAAATTTGGTCACAATTTACTTAGGGAGGAATCTATTTCTTTTTATGGTGTAAGTTCTCAGGCCTTCAACTTTATTTCTCTGTTCTTATTTTTATTTTAACTGCTAAAAAAGTTAGAACACTTATGAACTTCACTTTTAACTTAAAATTATGATATACAATCATTTTTATGTTCCATTTGTGAAAGCATACTTCGGGTCCCCTGTTCCCTATTCTTGCTTCATTATGAATCATTTATGAAATGCATAGTAAAGTACATACTCTGAGGATGATCTGTCAATAAAAGTATTTCTGTGGACTGAATGAATAAATCACAAAATGTGGCTTGTTGCCTTATTGGAAATGCAAGTCCAGAAGAGCATTCATTTACATGGTACAAGTCTATAACATCAGCTTGCAAAGACAAGGCATTTCTTATCGCTCTGCCATTAATTTCTTGCTAAAATTTTGAAATCAGAGGGTTGTCTGGCATGATTTGTTTGAGTAGTGCTATTATAGAGCCACAGCCTTTTGACCACATCTGTAAGAATCAAATAGTATGCAATAGCATAGTTGAGAATTGCTTCATTGGGCATATGTGATTGTTGAAATTGAATTTCTAGCAGGTGACAATAGTAAGCATCTCAAACCTTTGAGTCTACTATTAAGTGGCCAATGAGGAAATATTATATATTTGATTCAAATTCTAACTTTTCAAGACAAACGATATTCAACTAGAGCGAACTCATAATTGCATTCATAAAGTATTAAAAAAAGAGGATAAGGACATGCAACAGTAATATTAATTTTCATTCTTATTTCCACAATTTGAAATCGCAATTACTCTAAATCAACAGGTATTTGATGGGCATGGAGGAAAGAATGCGGCACAGTTTGTTCGCGACTATTTGCCAAAAGTCATTGTTGAGGATGCAGACTTCCCTTTAGAACTTGAGAAAGTGGTCACAAGGTCATTCATTGAGACTGATGCTGCATTAGCAGAGACATACTCTCTTGAGTCTGCCCTATCTTCTGGCACAACTGCACTTACTGCAATGATATTTGGGAGGTAAGTACCTGCCTTCCTCTATTGAAGATTAGCTATCACTTTAGGTTGATTGTTTCGCTCCTGTATCTTCCAAAAAGAAAAAAGATCTCTGAGAGCTCTTTCCTGGATCCGAAAGAGAGTACTTGGGTTCTCCCAATAACTAAAAAGTCTGAATCTAACTGGGGGTTCTTCTTTTAGTTTATTTAGTATTTTGAGTTCCAAGCCCCAAGCCTTCCCCTTCTCTTTTAGCTGATCTATATGCACAAAAATGAAGAAAATAAATGCGTCGCTGGAATTGAGATCTCATTCAAAGAGAAAGATATCAAATATCTGGAGTTTCTTTTTGTATATTATATGGATGATTCGATCCGCAAGGACCATGATTGGGAATTGTTTGATCGTCTTTCTCCGAGTAAGAGGCGAAACATAATCAACTTGAACTCGGGACAGCTATTCGAAATCTTAGTGAAAGACTGGATTTGTTATCTCATGTTTGCTTTTCGTGAAAAAATACCAATTGAAGTGGAGGGTTTCTTCAAACAACAAGGAGCTGGGTCAACTATTCAATCAAATGATATTGAGCATGTTTCCCATCTCTTCTCGAGAGGCAAGTGGGCTATTTCTTTGCAAAATTGTGCTCAATTTCATATGTGGCAATTCCGCCAAGATCTCTTCGTTAGTTGGGGGAAGAATCCACACGAATCGGATTTTTTGAGGAACATATCGAGAGAGAATTGGATTTGGTTAGACAATGTATGGTTGGTAAACAGGGATCGATTTTTTAGCAAGGTACGGAATGTATCGTCAAATATTCAATATGATTCCACAAGATCTAGTTTCGTTCAAGTAACGGATTCTCGCCAATTGAAAGGATCTTCTGATCAATCCAGAGATCGTTTCGATTCCATTAGTAATGAGGATTCGGAATATCACACATTGATCAATCAAAGAGAGATTCAACAACTAAAAGAAAGATCGATTCTTTGGGATCCTTCCTTTCTTCAAACGGAACGAACGGAGATAGAATCAGACCGATTCCCTAAGTGCCTTTCTGGATATTCCTCAATGTCCCGGCTATTCACGGAACGTGAGAAGCGGATGAATAATCATCTGCTTCCGGAAGAAATCGAAGAATTTCTTGGGAATCCTACAAGATCCATTCGTTCTTTTTTCTCTGATAGATGGTCAGAACTTCATCTGGGTTCGAACCCTACTGAGAGGTCCACTAGAGATCAGAAATTGTTGAAGAAAGAACAAGATGTTTCTTTTGTCCCTTCCAGGCGATCGGAAAATAAAGAAATAGTTAATATATTCAAGATAATTACGTATTTACAAAATACCGTCTCAATTCATCCT